GTTTGTTTGTTTGTTTGTTTGTTTGTTTGTTTTGCCATTTGCAATCATTTTATTTTGCCGTTTGTTTGTTTGTTTGTTTGTTTGTTTGTTTATTTTGTGAGTGTTTGTTCTGGGGGACACTGGATAATTGTTAATGCAAACAGCACTGAATAAACAAACAGAAGCCCAGGAATATTCATTCAGTTAATACTGCCTTCTGGATCACTGACTATGGAAAAAAATTGTTGTTTGTAGAGTGAATCATTAATTTGGCTTGCATATTGAATAGGCTTGCCACTAAAATAATAAATTATGACTGGCAGATAAATACGATACTTGTTTTAACCAGGGTAAAATGAACAAAACATTAAAAAACATGTGAGTTACTAATTGCCAACTTCAATTCTTTTGACTCATGAGCTTTGCTGAAAGCTGAACATTTTGTTAAAAAGCTTTGTCAGGTAATTATTTTCCTCACTGCCAAAGAATTGCACAGGTTTGCTGATTCCAAAGTTCATCTTAGTCTTTGCACTATCTGGTAGATTGAGGTACATACAGCTGAGGGTCTTCCAGCTTCGTGAGCATCCTTATTCTTACATTAATTTATTAAAATTGTAGTTCTGTGCAATGGATATACAGATCCTCCTTTATGTATTGAATTTTGTGAGGACGTATGAGGAAGTGCTGGAATCTAGAGACTGTCTGTTGCCAACTCAATGAGAAAATTTTCAGCAAATGAGTTTAATATGTAAATTACTAAAAATCATTATGTTAACTGAACATAAGTAACTCAGTGGTCAAACAAGATATAATTGAAGTGTGCTGGAAAGCAATAACTGAATGAGGGTTTATTAATCTGCAGTTACTCAACTGCTCCTTTGATTTACTGTTGTGTCTGCATGCTTCTGACCACTCTCCAGTACCAAACACCTTGTGTCAAGCTGCATTGAATGAATATGTGTTCATGGAACTTGGATTTGAAGTAATGTTTCTCTTTTTCCAGAAATACTTTTATTTCCTGTGAAGCACAAAGGATTAGCTATGCTATATGTAAGGATAAATTCTAAATCTATTTTCCCTATTTATAATAGAGAAGGTTTGGGGTTTAGTTTTAATTATTGCTATAAAAAAGCCTTGCAGAGTTACAAATGTTTAATTTCCTAACACATAAAAACGACAGATATGGTTTTCTTCTATAGCTTTAAAATGAAGAGCCCAAAATATTTTGGCAAGAATAGAGGCAGAAGGACTTCAAAAGGCAAACAATAGTAGTAGATTATTATCATAAGTAGTTGCTGGTCTGTGATTTCTGCCTTTGGAATATGGTTTTAGTCTCTTTCCCCATTCGCAGTTCAGACATTTCTCAGACAATAAGAATTTCTTGTGATTTTTCTCCGTCAAGTAAGACATATACAAGTGATTTTCAGTGATATCATATACTAAATAAAATTGCATTTGATAATGCATAATTTTTCTATATACTTGTTACTTGTGCATACAGTATTGTATCCTTATTTTGTACTAGTAACCTTGAGAATGAAGTGTTTCATACTATCAGTAGTGTTTCATTTGGCTTTTGGTATTTCCTGCACTTCACGAAGTGTCTCTTCTTGATGGGCACACGAGAAATTTTGTTTCCTATCTTATTTCATTATTGTATACTGGAATATTCAGTCTTGGAAGTACTTTGTGAAATTACATCTATTATACCACTGGAATATGACCTGATTCATTATAAGAAAATCAGAGTATGGCTCAAGTGCTCAGTGCATTATCCTAAATGAAGCTTAGTCTCTGAGGGCTGCTGTAGTCTTCATCTTTGCCATTATGTTTTAGCCATTGATTTCCCCTTAGAACACAAATGCCATAAAAATACTGCTTGGTAAATGTTTCTTCAGTATTGAATAACTGCTTTTTCTGCCAAGGAGGTGTCAAAATCCCTTTACAACCTGTCTGTCACACACTGTTCCTTTTACATGCATCAGCAGAGGTCAGCTAAATAGGTCTGATAACAGTTTTGGGGGAGATGCAGATGGCAAGTCAAATTGAAAGGACGGCAGGTAACTTTTCAAAGCTTGCTTGTTTATGTATCTTTGATTGCAGTGGTTCCCAGCTCCTTCAGAGGAAGGCACACTGCTTTGGAGCCTTTGTTTCTCTTTGAGTGATGCGTGCTGTTCATGCCTCCCTCTGTGCCTGCAAACCAGTCTCTGTCCTGGAGCTGTTTCCTCTGCACCTCCTCCACTCAGAGCCACAGGCAGCTTCTTTCTCACATTCTGAAGCACAGTTTGTCCCAGAGCAACCTAATGGTGGGGAGGGGCAAAAAAAAAAAGAAAAAAAAAAAAATATCCAGGCTGTAGGAAGCTCCTATGAGAGCTAGAGAAAGTTGTGAAAGTGGCTGTGATTTGGAGATGGGGTTGCAGAGATTAACCAGAAGGTATCTGTAAGCAATTTGCTTCACAGTTTATAATTTTACAATTTTATTTTTTTTTTTTTTTGCAATTACTTAGGTTTATTTTTTTTTCTTTTTTTTTTTTTTTTCAGGAGGAGAGAATTGGTAATCATTGGGGCTTTTACAGCATAAGATATAACATTTCTGCATGATGCATGATATATATTCCTGTAATTTAATTATCTAGAGTGTTTATTTGGGGTATAAATGCTGGAAACAACGACATTTCTGAGATTATTTATGAGGTACTGCACTTTGTAATCAAACCTTCTGTGTGCTGTTTGTGAAATATCAAGTGTTATAAAACTGCTGATAGTCAGAAAAAGAACATTGATAATGGGCTTACATTCTCTGTGCAGCTGCAGATGAGAATCAGTAGGAAATAGAGAGGAGAAGAAGCAGTGGCAGCTGTATTGCAAAGATTAGTTACTGAGATGTTGCCTGCCTGAGGAGCACATAAACTCTCTGCAAGGAATTTTATTTTGTGTTGAGAATTATGTGTCTCCAGCTTTACATTTTAGACAATATTTTATTAGTAAGAATTCTTTTTTATTTTCTCTGTGATAATGCAAATATTTCTGAAGTAAGTAAATAAATGCATTATACCTAAAAAAGAAAAAGAATAAAAAAGGAGTCATTCTGAGTTATAGAAATGAATGAGGTTAGGCAATGTTTAGATCAAAGAGGAGCTAAAAGAGAATGAAAATGGAATTGTCATTGACTGTGGAACCAAAGTTACCCAAATCCAAACTTTGAAGATTTTTTATTAATAAGGGAGAACATAACACAAGAGAATAAACTTTTGACTGCAGTAGGAATTAGTGACCTGCCATGACCAGGGCCCAAGAAAGGAGTGCACTGTGCATTACTTCAGTTTATGCTTCAAAGATACATGCCCTTATAGTTCCAGAAGGCTAAGTTCTCAGAATATTTGGCTAAGGTGAGTAAAGTCTCTTTTTGACTTCACTTTATTCAGCTGAAAAAAAGAGTTCATGAAGATTATGAGGAAACATACTTTGTAACACAATGACTGACCCACCAGAGAGAAAATCTTTGAAATAGTATTAGTGACCTTGATTTTATGAGCGTTTTTGATAGCAGTATTACAGATACAGTTCGTTATTGGATCTTGCTGCTTGTGTAAAGCTGATAAGGAAGGAATGATGATGGGTCATTTTCAAATTTCTGAATTATAACCTAGCCCACCTACGCTATCTCTGCTAAAAATTAGTCTAGAGAACAGGCTGTGAAACAGGCAAGCTCAATAAATAGTGAACATTAACCTCATATGTGTGCTGTTCAATAAACCTGCATTGAGGCCAGCAAAATAAATCAAGAGACTTAATGAAAAGATTTTATTATTATTAAGAGGTTTAATTGTAATTAATAGGTCTTAAATTTTTGTACTTTGTGAGAAATTTTAAATTTTATTTTAAACTTAGGTTAAGGGTGCAAATTTTGTGTTGGAACTTTGAGTACTATACCTATACAAGTAATGGTAAGCACATTATTTGTGCAAAATAGCAATAAAATACTTGGTGAAGGGAATTTTATTATGGGTTTTTTTTTTTCCCCAGGAATTGAATTAAACTACTGTTTTGCCCAGGACTGTTTTGTGTATCCTGAAAATGTTACTGAATGATGATTCATGAGTGTTTCTATTGCAGACCCAGCAGCCGGACACTGTTAGTAGCATCTGCTAGGACTCTGTTCCAGTGGCTTTATCACATAAATAAATTAATGCATAAGTGTGCATGGTGGTGAATACACTTTAAGTAAAGGCCAGGCAAAGTAATAATCGCAGGATTTGGTGTGACATTTTGCCAGCACTCACACGTATTCCTGACTTTTCTAATATTTGTTTTTCAACTCATAAATATTTCTGGAGAGTAAGCACACTGTTAAATGACAGCTGCTTCTGTGGAGAGATTAAGTACATTAATAAAATATGAGACAAAAGGTGAGTGATGGTTTTTAATTAGGGGAGAAACAAAAAAAAAAATTTAAAAGAGAGGGAGTGTTCTGAAGAGCAACACTTAATTGTCTCCATTTTTGATACTTTTGAGTATACTTTTTACATATGAAAGAAAAAATTGGAAAACATAAAAAGAAAGAAATTTACACTTGCAATAAGAACAGTATGTTTGAATCTCCTGTGAAAGGGAGGAGGTGGTATGAACATATGCATTCCTTTGATTATATTCAATGAAACCAGGTTGTGTACTTTATAAGAACAGGAACAACTTCTAACATCTTCCTAATCCTGTTGCAACTTTGATCATTTCTTCTTTTAAGCAATGGCTATAACTGGACCTAAGAAAGACAAGTGCAATGGCTCATCTCAGACAGATAACTTTTATGTTTTGCTATATCTTTTTCATTCTAATGAAATCTTTCTCTCCATTTTAGACAAATATCACTTGCTGTGTCATAGCACATGGATTTCAGGACCGCCTGTGAAGAGGTAGGATCAGATTTTTTTTCAAATAGTAGAATGAAAGTCAACGAACTTTTAATCCTTTTTATATTCAAGATACCTTTTTCCCCCCTTTTCTTCCCCTGAAGTTTTAGGAATTATACAGTCAAATATAAGTTATTCAGCTGATCAGTTCATGGTGGCAGATGGACTTTGTAGCAGAAGATGAAAGAATTTGTGCAAGTGTATTCATCTCTAGGCCTCACCTCTGTTCCCATTTACCCCTTTAGGCATAGTGTAGGTGCAGGCAGCTAAATTTTGTGTGAGCTTTGCTCTTCTTGAATTGTTTATATCTGAAAGTCTGTACATGAAGAAAAATGTCAATGGAGCCAGGAATCTGTCTGGTGCTGCTCAACAGAATCAAGGGGGAAATGTAGAAGTATGGAAAAAAGGTGGGTGGGGAAAGGGGAAGCTGTGAGGGTGACCAAAATTAAAAGCAATTCCATTCAGATTTAGTGAAGTAAGTGAGTAATTTTTGTCTAGAATTAGTTTCCTAATGTCAATGCAAAGTACTTCAGTCGCCCTCCACCAGAGATGAGGGAAGTGCTTTCTGTGTTTCTACTGATTTGTCTTAGAGAAAGCAAATAAAATGTATTTGTAAACATTAGCAAGGACATCTTATTTACTCAGTGATTGTCTATGTACAGTTGCTTAAATGTGATTTTAACAACTTCAGCAATTGAGACACAGTGAGAACTATTTACAGCAAATTATGTAATGATTTTAATGCACTGTTATAATTAAAAAATCATAACTATTACCTGTACACTGAAAACCACAAACAGCATTTAGAAAGGTAGGACTGGAAACAAGAATACTGGATAGACCTTTAAGTGTGACCATGATCCTATGAAAAAGTGGAAATTAAGGGATTGGAACAGCACTAAATCAAGAACTGCAGCTAAAACCTGACTTGGGAATCAGTTGGAATAAATTAGGGGCGAAGAGAAAATAAGCAGACTAAAGAACACTAAATCATGACAGCATTTTGAAAGGAGTAGCAGGGTCAAAAAGTCACTCCTAAAATGAACCTTGCCTTTGGGAAAGAATACTGTGATGTTTTTCCAGGATGGTATATATCAGGCTGTAATACCTCAGAAGATGCATGCATGGTGTAAATTCTATAGCAATATATCCCAGATTATTTGCATGGAAGAAGACATTCTTATTAATCTTGAGGTTTGGCTTTTCAAATAGAGTATTTTCAGTTGGAAGGAGCATGCAATGATCATGTAGTCTCATTTCCTAACTGCTTCATGGCTGACCAAGAGTTAAAGCATGTTATTAGGACATTCTGGTTTTGATTTTATTATTATTATTTCTTTTTTCATTCACTTATTCAGGTAAAGAGGAAGATAAGTATTATTTTCATAGTTTTTTTTTATATTGTTATTCTTTAAACTCTATAGATTATTTAGTGGCAATTAACTTCACTCTGTGTCCAGCAGGTATAATGACAAGAGCAGTCACAGAAAGATGGCTTGGCATACAAGTCCTATTTTAGCCTTTACAATTCAAGTACCCTGGCAGATCTGTTTCACTTCGTATCTAGTTTCTAATGGGGGCACTGATTTCAAAATTAGCTCTTTAAAAATCATCTGATTTGCAGAGCTTCCATGGTAGACAAGGGAAGGAGAGGATGATTCCACCCATCCTAAAAAAAAACTCCATAATCTGGAGACTGCAAAGAATATTTACTAAGAAATTTCTGATAATGGCAGTAAAAGTTTTTGTGAGGCATCTTGGCTGTCTGATCTTCCTCTTCCTCTTTTTGTTTCCTTTCATCTGCATATCCTGGTGCTGTAGCCACTACACTGCAGTGGAACTGAGATCGCTGTCCCAAGCTGGTGAATGCATCTCAGATTCTTGTTGATACTTCTCTCCTTAGTAATGGCAGTAAATGGTTTCAGCTGAGTTTCAATTAGCATAAAACCAAAATTTTCCACATAGATGCACTGAGGCTAAAGCATGTTTTTCATGGTGACCATGACATACTCTTTTTTTTTTCCTCAAATGACTTTTCATTCTAATTAACTTCTGCTCTAGTGCACTGGAGGTCTCTGAGGGAACCTTAGTTCTTTCATAGTACTGATGCTTTCATGCATCCCTAATTTCTTCTAGTGTCTACTAGTGAGATTTGGTTTGAGATTTGGACACTGAAATAGTCTTGTCTCCTTATAGGTACCTGCATGTACACTTTGTGCCTAAGTTCCTGCAGCAGATCTCATTGGAGCAGTCAGAGTTATTATAATGAGAGGTTAAAAATAGATATGTAGACAGGTAGAGTTCATTTCCAATCTCAAAGTGATTTCTAGTATCCTAAGGATTTTTTTCTCCCCCAAGCATCTTATCTTCAGGCTGTGCTGCCTTTCAAGGCATCTTAAAGTAATTTTAGTCTGCAGGAAAGTAACTTCCACAATAGACAATTCAAATGGTCTACAAAAAGAAGACATCTTACACACATAGACACATTTTTTAAGGGAAACTATCTGCCATCTGAAGATGTGATTTTTTTTTTTTTTTTTTTTTTGGTGTGTGTGGCTTCTCTGCCTGCTACTTCTGGGAATTTTTTCACTGTTTCATATTTCATTATTCAGTATTCCATGCTCTTTTCCCTCGCTGATCAGCAAATATATCAATTTTTTTTTTGTCCTTCTATTTAACGATATTTAAACCATAAGACTATCCAGCTTCTCTTTTACCCTTTATCCCAAGCTTTTTGAACTTTACAAGAGCATAAATCACAGAGTCACTGGGTTCTCAAAACGCTCTCCTGTACTCACTTGACCTTATTCTATATTCTGGAAACTATCTCTTGGAAGATAACCTCAGTCTCTGACATAATACTGTCTTCTGCAGTGAAAGTATCCTTCTGTTGAAATTGAAGACCTGGGATGTTTATAATGCATTAGAACATTTTGCCCTGTGATTTTTTTTAAGTTCATCTTTTCCATGTACTTTATCAAAGAGCTTCAGTAGCAGCTTTCTAACTTTTTGAAATCTCATTCTTTACTTCTAATAGCTTGACTTCCCCCACCCCCCAATATAGCATCAGACTTATTTAATTTAATAAATACCCCATTAATTTTCCTGCTTACACTCTATTCATTTGTTTTCACAGTAGTGTCCATTGTTTCTTTGAAGGATTAATTTGAATTGGTAAACTGATTGTCCTCTGCTTTATGAATTGTGTAAATGTTCTTGTAGACTTCACAAGCTTTAAATTTTATATGTTCTGTTATTTAAAGGTGTAGTGATCTCTATGTAAACATCCATCTAGATCAGGGGGGAGCTTTCCTGCAACAAAACAGGTTTAAAATTTTAAGCCATATTTAGCTTTCTTGCTAATTTCTTTCCTAACTATTGTTATATACTTTTATGGTCTGTTTCTCGTCACCTTTATGTCATTTTCTTATTCACACATTTCAGACTAAGCTGCTGTTTTCCTTTGTTTATAAATACTATTAAATAGCAATACTGTGGGTTTCTGGGATTTTTCTTAAATGAAGCTTCAACTCATGGTATAACCTCAAAATCACATGATGGAAAATAACTCATAATTTACAATATCTGTTAGAATGTAATAGGTGAAATAAATATGAAGAAACATACATATTCTCACAATAACCTTCAATTCTATATTTACTTTTTGGGTGCAACTCTATAGTCACAGTAAACTCATTGGCAACTCAGACATCAAAGTGGCATCCTTACAGTGTCAGAAAAATAAAATTATCTCTCTGAAGAAGTACTGTAGCTTAGTAAGAAGCTCATATATATACATATTTATGTAAAAACATATTTTTTCCACATATCTAATTTAGTTTATATTTCAGGCTGTATGAAACAAGGAATTTCTCTATAAGAATTCATTCTTTCAATGAAATCACTTAGAAAGAATACCACAGCAAATACTTAGACTAGCAAATACCTGCCAAATCAAATGAAAATAAATTCAAGTCCAAATTCGGAATTTTTCTGCAGTTCTTTCAGACTGGAGTATACAATTCATATGCAAGAAAGGACTTGCTGTCCTTTGGATTGGAAAATGTTGGTATCTGATTGAAGAGGCTCTGAATGACAAGCTGAACACATCCCTGTGTGTCTGGGCTGCATTCCAGTTTTTGGCAATATAAGTGCTTTCCACTTAATCTAGCAATACCACACAGAATGTGTAGCTGGACTATTTAAAAAACATCCCATATATAGTTCTGACACATATTCCTGCCTCTTGAATCCATTGCTATTACCTCCTTAAATCCAATGTCATTACTTCCTTAAACCTCTGATTCAATTTCCTTTTTTATTATTGTACTTAAGATTATGAAGCAGTGACAGGCATATCTCCAAATATTCAGAGGTCAGCCTCAGTTCAAATAAGTATCCAAAAGGGTAGATATTAATCTGAAGGAACTAGGTACACATTTAAGGCAGTTTTGTAACCCATTCTCCTTGCTGCTATCATGTTCTTGATAGTAGAAATAAATTTCAAGGCTTAAAACCAAATTGCAGAGGCTTACTTTCTTTTAAGACATAACAGTCAAAGTAGAAACTAAGAATCTAGGTCACCTTGCATAGAAAATGGGCCAAGATTTTTTCTTTCTCCCTCTTTCTTTCTTCCACTTGTTTATGGACTAAACTATTCTGGGATATTTGTTGAAGTCTTCCTTCTGATATGAAACTATGAGAAGCAAAGCTAAATAAATAGTTTTATTACTGTAGGGCCAAAGACATAGATAAAATAGAAGAAAGGAGAAGATATAGCCATGTCTTGAAAGCTAATTACAAGTATTTCAAATTGCCTGAAAGACTGAGAAACTCTCCTTGAGAACTAAATATAGGAAATGTTTTAGAATTTTTTTTCATTGTCATAAATGACAAGAAAAAAAAAATCAAAGACATAAAATGAAAAAAAAATCAACAGAAAATCTGCAAGCAGACTTGAATAGGCCAGGTAAATTAGAAAAAAAAAATATTTTGGAAGTTCTGCAGGAAATTTACTTCTAAATCAACAGGTAACTTTAATGATGTTTCTCCTGCAGTATTTATTTTGGTTTGTGTTATGTAGGTACCCTGCTGCTAGTATAAATGTAAGAACTGTAGTTTTCATGTGTATTTTCTCTGAAATTATTTCTTTAATATTTGTGAAGGCCATTAAACAAATGTGGAATGTTTGTTTTGGTTTCTTTTAGCAAAAGAATCTTTAGGCTAGATCTTTTACACAGCCCCTATGGACAATGTGCTGTAAGTCAGGATATAATTTTTAAGGGGCCTTTTTTCATTGTCCTATTGCTAATAATGATCAGAGTGTGACCATATTCTCTGGAAAAGCAGTCTGCCTTAAGGGCTCTGCCCACCTCTGCTGTTCTCTGATAGTGACCTGAAGCAGAAAATTCACAACTGATGGATGTCACGAAGCAAAAGGAAATCAGTTTTCAACCCCTCTTGTAATTATATTAGTTCAGCAACTGTAAGCAGTTCCTAGGACATCCGTTCTTGCCACATCAGTGTTCTTATCTAACTCAGCTTGAAACTGTGTGGAATGAGATGACAGAGGCAACCTTGTGTGGATGCAACATCCACTGCATCTGTTACTTAGGTACCACTACCTTCCTTCATCACTGCTTTTGCTTGAAGCCACAGGCTCTTCTCTCATGTGGAAACTCTCATCTCTTTACAATGCTTCCATATGCATTCCTTAACACCTTCCTCTGCTTCATAAAAATGTGCCACTTCAAACACTCATTTTTTTTCCCATCTTTGCAGCACAGGAGCCAAACTCTATAAATAAGGTGATGTTCTTGGTGATTTGGGCTCACTCAAGGTTTGTTGGCTTAGCAAACTGTTATCAGCTGAACTCTACTTCTCTTTGCATGTTTGCTGGGAGGTGATGCAGTGTACCACACTGCATCACCTCTTCAAATGGAAGAGAGGGGAAGGCCTATAGGCTCTACAGCTGATCAGAATAATTTTGCTGGGGCCACACAAATAAAAAATTTTTCTGTGTGCAGCAGAACTTGTACAGGTTGTCTTCCCTAATTTCCAGCTCTGGAACAGGATCTCGTATCTTTATTTTACTCAGTTTGTGGAATACTTTGAAGGAGGTAGGTGAGAGCAGCAAGAAAGAGGTTTTAACAGACAAAAATAAAACTATTTCGTTCCGGTCCTTGTTCTCAAGGTCTTCTTTTGAAGTTACCTAACAAAACTCAGCTGCATTCTCCTCCTTAACATGGTTAATGCAGCTGTCAGGTTGGAGAGGGAAGGAGCTAGTATAATTGAAGATTTAATTTGAACTGTATTGTAAACTAGCTTTCATAAAACCCAACAACAGTAAAGTGGTTCATTACATTTTAGAATATCTGATGTAAATAAGGTCTTTGAGTGTGTGTAATCAATCTTTCCAAGGGCCAAAATATTTTGCTGTTTCCAAGCTTGATTTGCTTGTTCAGGCTGAATAAGCTCAGCTCCTATGCATTTAGAAACTGCCTTGAATTTTAATTTTATTCTAATGTCTAATTGTGCTTGCTGTAGTTGCCTCTAATTCCTACAAAGTAGCCCCTCAGCTTTTGTAGAAGGACTCTAGGGATTTTTTAATGTTATTGACCAAATTAGAAATGTGTAGTCAAGTAAGGCAGAGTTACTGTACACAGTGTATGAGAGGCAGGATTTATTCTATTGCCAGTTATCCAGGGAGGAGGAAAGGCATACTGCAAACTTTGCTGCAGAAAACTGACATTTTCTAAGTTTTATCCCCTTTGACCATAATTATTTTCAATCCACATTGTTCAACTTCCATTGTCACTTACTGCTTACTTCACAACTTCAAGGACAGAGAAGTTCCAAGGACATGACCATTCTTTATTTTAATAGTGTAACATTTTATGTATGATATGAGAGAATTTTGCAATGGTACTTAAAACCTAACTTCTTCTGTGATCCATTGATTTTGTCTGTGGACATTAATTAGTTTCTGTCTTATTCACAAAAAAAAAAAAAGAAAAAAAAAGAAAAGACACCTTAATGTTAGAAAAATGGTGAAGGCTAACTGTTGACCGGAGGTTCGACTGACCTCAGTGTGAGTTCAAGGCATGGAGCTCTTAATTCTTTTCTTCTTCTTACCTAGATTAAAAAGAATAAAAACAATGTCAGAGCCACATTCAAAGTCATGGCTGAGTTATACACATTTGCTCCTGGCATCCAAGAAAAAACAATTTCCAAAGTTTGAGTGTTGAGTATGGAGCAGAAGTGACAGAACAGTTTGTCAGTTCAGAACCTTATATAGAGCTATTTAAAGATTGTCCTCGACCTTTCCACCTCGTTTAAAGCCCTGTGAGAGAGATTTAAACTTCTCTTTTGCCAGTGGCCTACTGTCAGTTCCATATTTGTGTTTGTTCTCTCCATGCTATGGATGTAAGAACACATTATGGGGAGATCTTCCAAATCCTCTTCTAAACTCTTGTCTGAGTGAGAGCCCTCAGATTCAGCCAGGTCAGCCTTGGAGCTTAAAGTTCAGAGAAATACTTTTCTTTCATTGATCTCCTCTTAAACCAACTTTTCAACAGTTGTTGGATTGAAATCTGACCTCTATAAAGATAGTGAAGGTTTTATTGTTGGCACTGATGAGTCAAAGGTTTTCAGTAGCTTTTACGTGTGAATTTTCATCTGAGGTACATATGTATATCTATCTATCTATCTATCTATCTATCTATCTATCTATCTATCTATCTATCTATATCTATATCTAATCTATCTATATCTATATAATCTATGTATCTATATCTATATCTATATCTATATCTATATAATCTATCTATATCTATCTATCTATATATCTATAGATAGATATATATATTTGCATAGATATATCTATCTATATCTATACATATATATATCTGTGCAAATACTTGTGGTGATAAATGACTTGTAAAGAGAAGGTTTTAGATTGTTTGCCAGCAGATTTCTCATATTAAAAAAACTGCTCTACCAGTCGGAATTTTGTCCATTGATGAAGTCTTACAAGGAGTGCTATTTTCAAAATAATCTCCAGGGGAAATTAAATTCTGATGGTACTTTCACATGCCAACCTTTTCAGTGCTCCCATGTATAATGCTCCAAAAGATAGTGCAAGTAGATACTACTGCAAAGGCACTGTTAATTGCTGGAAAATCATTTCTTGTAAATTGAGGAGTCCTACAGATTTCCTGATCTTCAGCCATAAGTGTAAAATACAGAAATGGAGCCAGAACTAAGTTGCTACAGGGAGTTTTAGTCTTTATTTTTTCTTAATCTTAGTTCAGCATCCTCATTTGAAAAGGACCATAAAAAAGTTAAATCCACGTCGTATTCACAGACACGGAATAAATGGCCCACAGCTGGGTTTATGTAGCTGTTGGTAGTCACATCTGGTTATTTTGGAGGTGTCATTTTACTTGTTTCTGAGTCAAAAATGGTGTAATATGTGGAGGATCAGTTTTTATTTTGTGTTCAAGTGGAGTGTTTCATCATTTAATGAAAAGATAGAAAATAAGAGCACAGCTGATTTGAAGCAATTTGGAAGGACTTTCACAAAATTATCATGGGTGAAATATGAAATATCACCTTATTATTAAAAAATCTGCCTTTAATATTTACTACTCCAATATTTGTTCTCTTGTACTCTAAGCAGAGTAAATACAGTGATCATTGAAAATAGTTTTGTGTATTTGATAACATGTTTGTGGTGAATGTACCTATTTATCAAGTATTTTTATTCAAAATACCACTTCCAACAATTCTAAGTGCTAACTGAAAATAACTTTCTTTCTTTATTCCCTCCTTTGAAGACAAAGACAGGGGTTTGTTTGCTGCAGGATGGTAACCAGGAGCCTTTCAAAGTGCGACTGCACTTAGCCAAAGATATTTTGATGATCCAGGAGCAGGATGTGATCTGTGTGTCTGGTGAGCCTTTCTATTCTGGTGTAAGTAGTCTTTATTTATTCTTTAAGATGTTCTTTACAAAGAAAAAGTGCTATGTGTATGTGTGTGGGTGCATACATGCATCTGTATGCATTTCCTCCCATGGATTGGCATTTCATTTTGTACTGTTAACACTAAGTGTATTTTAATGTTTCTTTTGTGAGTAATTATTATCAATATCATCTAAGAAGCAGCAATAAGATAATAAGGTATATGCAAGACTGCAGTACTGCTTCTCCTCACTCACCCTTAGGTATGGGAGCCAATGAATATAGGAGAGATGACATGAGCAGTGGTTTTGGCAGGGAATACAGATATCTCAATGTAATTATGTATCTGAGTATTGTCTGTGGAGTTGATGAGATCATTATGGCAGGGCTTTTCTGGTAGAGGAGTTACCTTTCATCCTCTGTTGCTTGGGTTCCTTCCTGTGGTAGCCCAGCACTAGAATTGAGGAATGCTGTGAGAGTCACTAGCTTTAACAGAATATCATGTTAGCAGAGATGGAACAGTGAGATAATGGGGTTTATGTATTAAAGTTTTTACATGATGTGTCAGATTCTTTATTTAAGCATCCTATTGAATTTTGTGCATGAGAAACTGCAATTATTTGTAAGATCTGTAAAATTTTATATAGAATAATATTGTAGGGTTTAGAGCTATTGTAATGAAAAGTTTTTATTTAATATTAAGAGATAGGTACAAAAATAATAGAAAACACTTTGTAATAATTTCTATAGACATTTTAATAGATAATGTAATTTTATTTTGTCGAGATATTTTTAAGATTTATGTGAAACTATCATTAGCATTCTGATCCCCCTTTGAGCTAAATAAAATAACCACAGAATTTAATGTTAAATCTTGTGAGGCATAGTGATATCTGTTCATACAAATGTTTTGTTAATGTTATTATTACTGTTTTGTTATTTCATTGCTGCTGTTGCCACATACTTACATCTCTAAATACAAGCACGGTAAAAAGATAGAAAGTGCAAATGAAAAATAAATTGCTAGAATGTTAGCAGTGCAAAGAGTGTGAAAGATTAATGAAAAAATGTATCAATTTTTTCTTCTCATGATTATGAATATCACAAGGTGAATTCTTTGGAGCTTTTCTCTGAAACAAGAGGAACACATTGCTTAGAGTCTCCATAGAGTCTGGGTTTATTTGCTTGACAAATCTGACATTAGCTTCTGACTGTTTCATTCTGAACAAATGCAGTTTGCTAATACAAGTCTGTATCCTTTCTGTGGAATATAGATGCTCCTTTTACCCATCAGACTCCTCAGTTCCTCAATAGACAGTACATCCAGCAGCCAGAATAGAAGGAGTTATAAGTTCAAGCTCAAGCTGTAGTTGTTCAATTAGCAACATACAGTGTGGCACCATTATTCTACCAACACCATTCTGACTTTATTTATTAAAAGATTTTATCACTCAGAAATATGACTTTCATTATTCTGCTATAATATCTGTAATATCCTGCTGAACTTGTTATTTAAATGTCTTCATGAAATGCATATTAATTTATTTTTCCCTTTTCACAGCAAGGCTTGCTCTTACAGTATTTGTCTCCTTAGTTTTGCAAAGGCTTTGTAGAAAATAATGGATTATTTGCTTCCCCAGTTAAACTCCCCCATGTTATTTGCATATTAAAGCATAACTCATTAAATGATTGATATTTGTGTGTTGATGTGGAGTTTCTTTTTCCTGGAAGTGTCATTGTTACAGTAGTGATTTTTGAGCACTTTACTCTGATTTCCTTTGGGATTAAGAATAGGTTTTTTAGCAGTAGGTTCCTTCCAACTAAGAATGATTGGCATTTCACAGACAGTTAACTGTCCTTTGTCACAGGTAATTTGAATAATCTGGAATCATGTACCTTGATTGTGTACTATAATCACACAAATCCCACAGACTTGCTTTTTTTTTTTTTTCTATTTTTCTCAGTTTTTTTCCTGATTTTTTAGGTTTTTTTGCTTTTTTTTTCTATATTTTACTTTGTTTGGTTGATTTTATTCTGTT